ATGTACAAAAATCCATTTTTGTATGCTTAATTTGAATACCCAAACAGAATTTCATCTTACCAAGATCATTCATTTCAAATATTTCTTTAAAAAAAGAAGTGGCCTTTTCCAATTTTCTAGGAGTTCCAATTATGTTCAAATCATCTACAATAGCATCAATTATGACAAATTCTGATCCGAATCTTTTTATGAATACACATGGGCTTATTGGATCATTTTTGTGGCCCTCTTTCAACAAAATGGTATTTAAAAAACTGGACAACATATAGCCAGATTGTTTCAATGCATACAAAGATTTATTTAATTTTACTGGATATACTTCTCGAAAATTAGACGTTTGTGCTTCTGGATTTTCATATAAATATCATTCTCAAGTGAACTATATAAATAGGCGGTAAATACATCCATTAGACACATCTCCAGTTTTGCATATGTTGTCGAACTTATAAAATAACTGAATGTAATTGCATCAACTACCGGAGAATATGTTTCTTCATAATCAATATCGGGACTTTGGGTAAAAACTTGTGCAACAAGTCTTGCTTTATATCTCGCAGGTCCTAAAACTTTTCATTCAGTAAGTAAATTATGCTCTTTAATGATTACATCTTTCCATTTTGGCCAATCTTTTCAATTCTACATTTATCTATAGATTCAGATTCAAGATCCTCATTTTCTTCCATAATCTTGCACGCAACATGATACGAAAAATTACCTTCGACATCTATCTTATTTATGTTCCATGTTATTCCTGTCATGACATAATTTATTGAGATATCTTTATTTTCATAATTTCAAGGTAACTTAGTTTCTTTTGTTATGTCATTGGGCTCTTCTAGATCTTCATTAATCATTTCAAGAGATTTTGTTTTCTCTTTTTGACCATCAATTATATTTGCTCCCATTCCTTTTCAAGGATTTTTATCTTTGGAACCAGTTGGTCTTTCACGCTTCAGGCGTGGCTTAGATTCATTTGTAGTTGTATTTTTCCTTATGGGATATCAATTCTAATTGGAGCATTTACAACCGATACATGAGACTTTGTTACTCACTTAGGGTCAGTAAATGCATCTTGCAACTGATATGCTACATTTTGTAAATGAATTATCTTTTTCAAGTTCACATTGACTTGCAAGAGATTTTATTTTCCAGCTTCTTTATTTCTCCCTCTAATGTTGGAAAAACCGATTCTCAAAATGACAATCATCATATATAGCTATAAATAAATGTCCAGTTAATGGTTCTAAAAAAATTTAATATAGATGGAGATTCATATCCAACATAAATTTTCATTCTTCTTTGAGGACCCATTTTTGTTTAGTGAGGTGGAGAAATGGGTACACAAATTGCACATCCAAACGTCCTTAAATGGGAAATATTTGGTTCCTGACCGCAAACTAGTTGAATAGGGGAGAACTTATGATAACTAGTTGGCATGATGCATATAAGTGATGTTTCATGTAAAATTACATGCCCTTATGTCAATTAAGAAGTTTATAATGCATTATTAATGGTTTTGCAATTAATTGAAGGCGTTTCGTTAACGACTCAGCTATACCATTTTGCATATGAACATGTGCACCAAGATGTTCAATAGTTATCCCAATTTACATGCAATATTCATTAAAAGCTTGTTATGTAAATTCTCCAACATTGTCAAGTCGAATTTTCTTAATTGGGTAATTGGGAAAATGTGCCCTTAGGCGGTTTATTTGTGCAAGTAACATTGCGAAAGCAAGATTACGACTAGATAACAAGCACACGTATGGCCATCTAGTTGGCGCGGCAACTAAAACCATAAAATATCTAAATGGTCCACATGGTGGATGAATTGGTCCACATATATCCCCTTGAATTCTTTTTAAGATACTATTACTTTCATACCCAACTTTATTCAATGATGGACGGGAAATTAATTTTCCTTGAGAACATGCAACACAAGACAATTCATTAGTTTGAAAAATCTTCTAGTTTTTCAAGGAATGACCACTTGAAGTTTAAATTATTCTACACATCAAAATTGATTCGGGATGTCCCAACCGGTCATGCCAAACTTTGAAGGTTTTATCATACATTTTATTTTTAATAACATGAGATTCAATCATTCTAATATTTGTATAATACAATCCGGAGGACAATACGGGTAACTTTTCCAAAAATCTTTTGTTACCCGATAAAGACTTGCTTTATTCAATTCAAAAAAAAATCCTCCTCTGGTATTATCGCTTAATAGGTCAGATCGATCGAATGGAATGAATGAGCTCATTTTTGTAATATTGAGATACTCTTTATCACCATCATTATTTGTTTCAACATGATATCCGTCAGACCGAATATCCTTAAAACTTAATAAATTTCTTGATGATTTTGATGAAAATAATGCATCACCAATTTTAATTATTGTCCCTTGTGGTAATATGATATTCGCTCTTCCGGAGCCTTCAATCATTTTTGCACTACCCGTTATTGTATTAACATTTGCTTCTCCAATTGATAAGTATGCAAAATATTTTTCATTATTAAAAATGCTATGTGTTGTTGCACTGTCTGCAAGACATATATCTTCCTTATTTCTTTTACGGATATCCATATTTCTCTTCAATAAATAAATAAAACATAAGAAACATTCGACTAAGAGAAATAAAGTCATATTTTATTACTTTGGGAAGATTGTGGCGACATCATTTTTCATAAAACGAATATGACATAAAAACATAATAAATGTCATGAAACAAAACTATTATATATTATTTTCCCA